GTAGCGCGATGCGAATGAAATTGGGATCCATTCATAATTTTTTGTTTGTTGCTCTAACGATGCCCCTAGTCCACTATGACTTGCATCACATTTGACCCGAGTTTCCCTAGCCGGGTCATAATAATTCAAATTTGGCAATGTTTGCTACTGCTTGTTTGATTTCCTCAAACACCTCAGTGTATTCGGATCCCCATTCGAATTTTTTTACTGGGACTTTAATATTTTTCAATTTTTTATTTTCATTTTCCTCTCGCAGTAATGGTCTAAGCTTGGCTGTCAAATTAGCTGCATTTGGTATAAACTTCGAAAGGTGATTAATGCTACCTAGGAAGGACCTAAGTTGTTTGAGCGACTTGGGATGCTCTAACTTAAGAATAGCTTCCGTTTTCGTAATCTTCGGGGTAACCCCACTTTCTGAAAATTTATGTCCGAGCCAGTTTACTTCTGTTTTAAAGAATTCACATTTCGACAACTTCAGTGATAAGTTTTCCTTATCTAACTTCATTAGGACGTCAGATATTAGTTTTTCATGTTCTAGCTCCGATCCCTTTGAAACGATCAATATGTCATCCAAGAAACAAAACGTGTTATTAGAATTATTTAACGTTCGATCCATTGCTTTTTGAAATTCTGCTGGCATATCTGCCAACCCGTAGAATCCCGTCAAAAATTGATATGTACCTGTTGCTTTCCCCCCTACGATATTGAAATTACACTGCCTTGCAGTTTGCCGTGTCAACTTTAGCTGACTATACGCATATTTCATGTCTAACACAGTGAAGAACAAAGTACCTGCTGCTTGTGCAGTTACTATCTGACTGACTCCGTCTAATAGCTCCTCCACATTCGGCATTTGTTACTTGTTTTTGTACAATTGTCTGTTGATGGGCTTTGCATCCAGTGCCAACTTAATTGAGTCATATTTCTTCACCGTGATGACAATAGGGGCTATGAAACAATCACTAGTACACTTATCTAACCTTTGAATATGGCCTTCTAGTAGTAATTTTTCAATTTCCTTCTCAACTTTTTCCTGCACATGGATAGGTATTCTCCTCCCCTTTTCCTGAATCGGGCTGAGAGGGTACTTGAACGTCGTACTTACTACATGATGTATTGATCGTCCTTTTTTGTCGAACAGGTTTTTGAAATCATCATAGAACTTTTCTTTCCACGCTTCCGACTGTTCACACAGCATTATGTCAAATCGGGATTTTTTCTTCGGAGCGGGTCTCTGCGTAGTGGTGATACCCACTTTATTTTGTAAATCTAAGCCTAATATGCACCGTGTTCTTCGTTAAGTTATAAGAAATGAAGCATCCGGGACTTCCCAGCCAGCGGACTGTATTTTCGCCTTCATTTTCCCTGACGAATCTAAAATCTGCTTTGCCACTGTCCAATTTAGAAATGAAATTGGACTTCCTGTGTCCACTGTCATATTTATGATTTGATTATCAATTCGGATTAGGGCTTTTAATGATTTCATCCTTCCCGATGTTGAATCTTTCCGAATGTCAATTTTTTTCGTTTCGAGTTTATTAACTCCAGTTTCGCTACCTCTGTTCCCCCTCACTTTCTCTTCAATGTATCTGTACCTAATTGTCTTTTTGTTCAATTGCCATAACCTCAAATTCTTCGCACGAATCAAATGTTTGTATCAAATTACAATCTTCCTCCGAACTCTCTGTATTCTCGGTTATTTCATTGACTTGTTGCGATCGACACATCCGAGCCAACTGGTTTGGTTTATTACCGTTTTTACATTGTTTCCCCATCGCCGCACAATTTTTCAAATGTCAGTCCACGAATGGTTTGCCACACCTATTGCATTGTTTCCGATTATCTGCGTTATATTTATTCGATATCGCCCTTCCTTCCGGCTGTTTCCGTCTATTCCTTTCGCGATAGGGTTTTCTATTATTATGATTCCTGTTTCCCACCGCCAGAATCGGTTCCTGCTTGATTTTAATTTGAGAACTCGGTTGCGTTATTGTTTGTGGAGTGCCCAGTGTGGACTTCTGAAACACTTGTGTCGATTGTTTGCTCTGCTCAAATTTTAAAGCACGTTTCAACACTTCGTCAGGAGGTAATGTATCAAACGTGAATGTGTCCTGCAATGCTGGGCTTCGCATTTTAGAAATGAATAAATCTCTGACTAACTCATCTTCTAAAGTGTCCAATGCCAATTTGGCTGCTTGCGCAGTTAGTGCGGCATGAAATGCCTCTAACGATTCTCCATTTTCCTGCGATCTATTAAATAACTTATAACGCTCATAGGTGATACTCTGGTATTTTTCGAAAGTCTCCTTCGTTAATCTGACCATCTCTTTAAATTCCAATTTCGAAATCTCAACATGTGGATTCTTTTGAACAAACCGTTTCTTTCCTTCCGTCCCGAACGCAAGAAATAGCCTGGATACTAGTCGCTTTTGAACTTCATTGTAGTAAATATTGTGACCCACTTTAGGTCCTCTTTCTCTTCTTTCTTCATTCTCGGCTGCTACTCGATCCCTTAACAGTCTATCCCGTGCTTCTCGAGCTGCTGTTGCAGCAGCGGACTCACCCTCTCTAGGTATTTCTGGTCGTGGTTCCGGCTCCTCCAGCACCGGTTTAGGATCCTCCAGCATAACTTCTGGGTTAAAATTATCTTTTACAGTTACCGCCATCAGGAACTGATCGAACCATACCTTAAAATTCCAAGGTGGATCGGAGTTCGCTGTGGTCCAGAAAACAGGAATTCCCATGTCAGTTCTATTATCCTGAGCCAGAAATCCTGCTGACTGCGCCATGTGATATTCCCAAACTGCATAGCGTGTTATGGAATAAAAGTAAAGATAGATACTGTTATTTAATGTTCTTGATTCTTGTTAACAAGGTTTCGTAGCTGAGATTGGTTACTGTTCGATACACTGAAGTATGAAGTCACTGACCAATTCATCTATAGGATTTTAGCATCACCAAATGGCCTTGACCACTCTTACATAATAGTAGCATAATAAATATAATTAGCACATATGGTTACTGCAGATGCAGTAGCTAACAAACTGTCCTCAAGGTTACCTACTGCTAACGCCGCAGTACCACATATATATATATATATAATATAAACATTTATTTATTAAATTTCACAAGTAACTCTGCATATCCCACAACCAAACGTAAGACATATCCAAACGCAGCGTTCTTCTCAAACCCCTCCTCCGTTTAGCTCTCCAATCCTCCCACGTTAACAGCCCCGGGAAAGTTTGGACGTTGGAAGGGGAACAGCAGATATAAATTGGGCAAAAATACGATATATTCGATTTCGTGGTCTAAACTATACATCCGTAATCGATTATAACAAATTTTTTTATGTCAGAAATTTTTCAGAATCGTTTATTATCTATTATACTTAGGGGTGGGAAAAGTGTCTCCACTGTAATTTTGTCCTAAAAGCAAAAAATTCAAATCGGCTTTTCTCAATAAAAAAGTGTTTGGAAAAACGTACAATCAATTGACTCCCAATTGAAAAGTTTTTTTTAAATGATATGTCACCCGAGCTTTTATGATTGTTCATAGGTACCCAATTTTTGTGTGAGGAGATAGCAAACGAAAGGAAAAATGCCAAATAATACCCGATAACATAGACTTTTTCAACGTCGTAGCAATTAAAAAACGCTTATTGCTTTTGTGTTTATATATGTTTATATAACTATTTGGCTTTTTTCTTTTCCCCGCCTCATTTAAGCATTCATTTTGCGATGTAACGAGTGGCTTTACATGGGTATATATGATGACCATATTTTATTATTATTATTATCTAATCAGTCCGCATGTTGATTTGGTTAACAATCGGACAATGTCAATAAAAACAATTTCATTTAAAAAATTTGCAATTGGGGAAAAGAGAGCAAAATTTTTGCTCCTATCGCTAGAAACTGACAAAAGATTTGTGTTCAGATGGTTTTTCATTATAAAAAAATGCTTCCATTATAAAAAAACTTTTTGTTAAGCGCCTCTTTATTAAGATCTACATCAGTTTTTTGCTTTTTCTGAAATAGAGAAATTTGCATCATCCTCGCAAGCAACAAACACGGATTATGGGCCTCAAACTACCGATATTTTTGTGACTGACGGAGACTTCAGCTACTCATCGCTCTTCTACTCTTCTCACGGTAACTATCGAGAAGAATTTTTTTCTACGCGGTTTTAGATATCTCAAAAAACGCTTGAATAGTGTCCAAGCGTAAATTTTTTAGTCTGAAATTAGATTTCGAAAAAAAACTTATAAAATTTCTGAATATCGGGAATTTTTATTTTTTTTGCTATTCCAGGCCCAATTCTCAGTTTTCAAATTACCAGTCTTATTTCAAAATCCCATTGTTTCGTTGAACGTTTTCTAGCTTATTTAAAACAAGTTGAATTAATTCACTCAGCTTTTTTGTGCCTTATAGGAGACTCGAGTAAACAGCGGAATTATTGAAAGGAAAAATATATGAAAAACTTTCAAAAATTTCAGATATAAAAAAAATTTAAAAACTTTTTTAACTTTTTGCAAAAAAATACTGTGGCTCCAACTTTCTCTGAAATTTCGAAAGTGACAACTGAATTTCTATGTTTTAATGTGTTATCATTAGTAGTATTATCAGGCGCGGATCTAGGAGTTTCTCGAAGGGGGAGCGGATTTTCAAAAAAAAAATTGAAATTTTTCTCGACTTTATTTTAGGTCGACTAAAATGATTTTCTGAGCTCTCCCAAATCACTATAAAGACCCTATATTGACCAAAGTTTCTGCCCCGCAGTCAAATTTTTCAAAAAAAACAAGCCAAAAAAAAAACTTCGACCAAAAATTGCGTTTTTTTCGCGCTACCACCTCAAAATTAGTATATATTGACGCAACGGATATCTCAAAATAGTACAAAGGGGAGAACCTTTGGGTCGACAGGAAGTCGAGTCCCCCCCTAAAACCGCTACTGAGTATTATTTGTTTGTAAAAGGCAAAAAAATGCTTTGCAACTTACGGGTCAAGAAGACTGAGAGAGCCAGCTAGTCTGAAGATTTGGGCAGCCTCATCTGCATCCGTCAACACAACAAAAATGTTCACTTTGTTTCTGCTGCGAACCTGCGAGAAGAACAAATCTACTCTTACGGGGCATCCTAGTACAATTACTTGTACAATTAATTTTCCTCAAAAGCACAAGTAATATTAGTCGCAGAAGATGAAAAAATCTTTTGAGAGCATCACTTACGTAAAAAAATTGATAAATTCAAGTAAATATTAGACAAAAAGACTCTTAGAAAAATTGTGAATAGATTTATATAGCAAAAACAGTATTTCAAGAATTATATTTTAGGAAATAAAACTAAAAAAAAATTAAATTAAAAATTGAATTTTCTAAATTAAAAAAAAAGATTAACTAACAGCAATGAGTTTAGGCATGACAGTCAACCATATACCATTTTTAGTCGCATACAGAATGGGCGGATGATGCTCGAAAGGACTGAAACAGAAACAATTGCGATTACCATTAGAATATTAGGCCCATATGAACAATCTCTAATCTTAATAGACCACATGAACAATTTCCCCCTAAAACAAATGGCAAATTCAAGCCTTAAAGCCTGCATTTACTAGGCTCGAACCTGATCGGCTGAAAAATATTACTCCAAACTAAGTGAAGAACCTCCAATCTATATTAATTTAGGGAGGAGATTGTGCACTTGTTCCAAAAATTAACCTTCTTCAAACTACTAATTATAGTTTCCTTGTGTGAAATTATAGTTTAAAAAAAGAAGAAGAAATACATGATTTTTACAACTCCCATTGTTTTGGGGTAAAAATTGCGCCATTTATGATTCCGGTCGGTTCTTTTCGGTGTTTTACAACACTCTTCTTCCCTCTTCTTCTGAGTAGCAAACTTGACCTTGAGTTGAATATATTCGATGGCCCAAAATTTATCTACAGGCAATATAATACAAGACAGTTTGAATCAGAGCGAAGTCCCGAATGTTTCGCTTGCCTTTTTAGGTTTCCGTCTTTTTAGGGCTGTGTTTGCTGTAATGTTTTATGAAGTTGTTATTTTACACCCACCACACACACGCACACATGGTATGACATTCACATACCGTGTGTCGTGACGATTTAAAAAAAATTTTTTTATTTTTTTTTCTAATTTTTTGAAAATCGTCTGCCCACACGGTATGCGAATGTTTTATGTTTCTCACTTAAGAAAGAAATTTCCAATTTTCGTAACGAAAGTAACGTAATATTTGAGCTCAAGGTGGTTTTTTTTGCACCAGACAAATTTAGACTTTTTGAATAGCCATTTTTGACAGAACTTTTTTTTTTATTTCATTCAAAAAGTATTGTTGCCTTGAGCGTAAATTTGAAAAAATATTCCACCTGTGATCATCATTGGTAAAGTTAATGGGGTTCAGAAATTGCCATTTTGGTCAATTTGGGACAATTAAAGCGCAATTTATTTCGCGCTACTAACGCGTAAGCGAGATTTAATCCGTCTTAGAAATCGTTCCAAATTGATTCAAGGAAGACTATATGCCATGAATGATTTGTTAATAAGAGCAAAATCTATCACTTTGTACTTAATATGGCATGTGGGGGGTTATTATTACAAATATTCTAAATTATTTTTAATTTTAATTTCATTTTATTACATTCAACTTTTCCATGTTGTTACTGCTCCATTTACCTGAAAAGGCAGTCGGAACATTCAATGTTTTGCCTTGATACAAGCAATCTTGTATCAATTTGGTATAATTTGTAAGACGGATAATCTCCGCTTACGTGTTAATAGCATGAAGTGTATCACACGTTAATTATCCCAAATTGGCCATCGTTCAACCCCAAAAAGTAGCAATATTTAAACCCCCATAACTTTACAGGTGAAATAATATTTTGAGACAAAGACAACAATACTTTTCTAAGTAAATAAAATTTACGTCAAAAATCAAAATTTGTCTGTAGAAATAAAAACAGACTGCTCATATTGGGGCCAAATCTTGTTTTTCCGACTGCTCAATAACTGGTTTCGAATATTCTTTTAGAGTAACATTGATAAACTATGGATTTGAGCCTGAAAAAATTAAAATTTAATTCTTGAATATTGATATTATCAGCCAAAATTTTATGATTTGCTTATAATGTTTCGTGTGTTGAGTGGAGTTAATAAGACCAAATTAGCTTGTCTCTTTTCAATTTGGAACAGTTTCGTGGTGAGGGATAATTAGGCACGGGTAAATGTTTCGCATTACACTTTCAGCATTAAAATTAAACCGAGCAGTTTAGTTAGACTCGTTCATAGCGACAGTTTTGTCAGGTTACTATAGTGGTGAGCGAGACCCGTCGGAGAACTCGAAGAACAGGGAATCGATCCGCCTCGAGAATTTGTTTTCGAAAACTGGTCTAAACAAAAAAAAAACCCACGAGCTAATATATTTCATTCTTTCTTCGAAAGAATAATTTTGTCTATGTTCAAGTCAACGTCTTGTCTCAAAATGTTGAGCCGAAAAAACCCTTCTTGGCTTTTTCAGCCCCTCCCTCTAGCCCCGAGCCCCGGTTTTTACTGAAATTCGAATTACGGAACTGCAAATCACAGAACACGTTCTTTTGAACAATTAAGCTATAAATTGTGCACTAAAAATTAAATGTTCGAACATGGAAGTTGATTTTAATGATTTTAGTTGTAAAACTATTTTATCTGATGCAGATTAATTTGCAGCTTTAGAAGGAAAAGCACCCCCAATTGCATTCTTCTAACCGAATTGAGTCGCTGTTGGCCTCGATTATATTGAGTGCGGCGTCTGTATCCTGCCCCACCCTTGCTATAAGAACCATGTGGGGCCAGGAATAGAACTGCATCAGATACAGAATGGCACCCATTTCCTGTGCAAAGGTGGGCAGAAGAGTCAAGGCCGAGGTCTCTTGCTGAATAAGGTCAAATGGCACTTGATTCACATTCTAAAAAATAACCAAATGCAAAGAGCTAGGGAAAATAACCCTTCGGAGCCATCTCAATAGGCTCTCTTGTACTATGGAATTTTGAAAGTGTGTTTTTTTTCTCAGTAAATTGACCATGAGGGATGATCTTTTTGTGAAATGTTTTTGACGGTTGACAAGACACTAAAACTATATTGTTCTTCTAATGCCTGCAACTTTGCACGAAAGCTGAACGAAACTTCAAGTGATCCCTTTTCAACTGTCCGAATCAAACTGGATGGGCGTTCAATTAAATAATTGAAATAACACTTAATTATTTAGCTATTAACAACAGCAGACTGTTTCTCACTTGTCCGATTTGTTGCCTGAAGTTGGTGAGTATAGTGGGAATGCGCAATTGAGAAGTTAGTTGGAGGAACACACTCGTAACCAGAGGGTCACTAAGGTCCCATACCACCACGTGAACACCTAGTACATTAGATATACCACCACGTGAACACCGAGTACAACACATAATCAGGGCCGACAGCGAAGGGCCACCGAAAGGGTTTTTCGCTTCATTTCATTTTTCGTTGGTCACCTTTGCCAAGTTAATCAAAATTTTTCTGAACCAGACAAGAAAACAAAATTTAAGCTCAAATTCCACAGAAAAACGTCGTCTTTGAATTTTAAAAGAAATCAAATTTTTCAGAACATGCAAAAAAATGCCGTTTTGAAAGGTTGTCATAAAAAATTTTGATCTGTCAGTTGCAGATATTTTCGCAAAAAATTGATGAGATGGCAGCTATTTTTCTACAGTAGGGTACTTTTGGAGCGCTCGAAATACCAATTTTTTGTCAAAAAAAAACCGCGCGACGACCCTGTGGCTTACACTAAAGGCATGTTAGAACTAATTAAAATAAATGAGCACATTTTCAGATCACAACCTTCAACTTAACAAGGAAAATGTACAGCGCACAAAAAAGAATGTAAGCTACTGGCAAATTGAAAAATGAATTTTACAAAGTACATAAACTCTGATAAACAACTAAAACGTGAAAGTAGTGTGTAAATGCATTTAATTCCGATGGAATGGGTCACCAACTAAAAACGAACTAAAACTGTGCTATTTAAAAACTCATAATTAAGCAATTGGCTAAAATTTACTACATTTTGAAGATACTTAATGAAAAATATCGAGAAAAATATCAAGTTTAAGATCAGAAGGTTGAGTTTTCCTGATTATTTTTACGCGAAAATCTGTCCAATTCTGACACAAAATGACTATGTCTTCGGGAAGTAGTGTCAAATTTTGGAGTTGATCAAATGAGATTTAGCCTTCGATATAAATATGCTCATTCACTTTATGATCTGTTGGATTTGTATCTTGTCCAGATGGTGAGTTAAAAATTTAGGAAAAACCTAGATTTTTGCTTCCGCTGGATTGGAAGAATTGGGTGATTTTTTTTGGTAATATCACTGCTTGTTATTTATTTCGCGTTTTCTTCAACAGAGGCAAAGATGTCTGTAGTTTGTTCCACAATGATCGGGTTGTCTGCGGTTCCACGTTGCTAAACAAGGTCTACAAAATATATAAGAAACATGTTACCAAAAAAACTTTAGTGCTCCCAGGTTTTTAAAAGATATATGTATACAAAAAGGGGAATTACGTATCGTTCGTGTAGTTTCCAACTCATCTGATGAGTCGACAACCTCAAACACGGTGTTTTCTCCGGAAATTGGTTCTTGTTCCATTGGAGAATTCTCTGTGATGATCGGTTTAGATTCGCAACCCTGTCCAGGTGTCTTTTCAATCGGTGAGGCTCCTCCAGCTAGAGATACTGAGATTGGGCAGTTTGGGGTTGTCTGTGCGTGGTCTTAAACCTCAGAATTAATCTTTATTTTATAAATTACGTCGATTATATTTGGTTTTGATGAATACCTTCGCAAGTATTGGCTTAAGTATTGAAAGTATTGCATTCCCTTGCCACATCTCTACAGGGAAATCTCATCTTATTTTCGCCCAAACACGAATGTCAGAAGTATTCAAAAGAAAGAAAGTAAACTCGTCTAATTCGAACTGATCGGTATAGAGAATGTTTTAATCTTCGTGGCCTCGGTGGTTGTTTCTAGTTGGGTTCTAAACCTGACGGCAGTTTCTCTTTTTCCTTGATGTTTCGTTTGAAGTAGTTTGTTTTTCGGTTTGCCTTATAATTCTGGCGTCTGGTTTATTTTTGATTCCGGATGATGTTCTCAATGAGAAAGGAATTAAGATTATCGCCATTGTGTGAGTTGTTATTGGAATTGCTGGTTGTGAGAACGTTTTTTTTTTCGGAATTTTTGTACCTGCTTCGAGATTCGGGGTCGGAAATCTCAGAAAAGATTTGCTGTCCTGTAGAAATAAGTATTTTCCCCTGATTTCCGAAATGCAATATCATTTATTTCTATTGTCACTTTTAAAGAACTAACAACTTGTGCATTTAGGTTCTTAAAAAATAAAGTTCTGTTGGATCGACTATTAACCTCGATTGATAATACCTTTTGAGAAAGGGCTCTTCAACGAAATAGTACTGCGTTGGTCTCCTTGTCGTTTTTACTTGTTTGTTCGAATTTTGTCCGTTCTCCATCCAATTTCGGTTTTTCTGTGAGATTGATTCGTCTACAAAAATTTCATCAATTCAGTCGACGGATCCCAATCTCTTATGTTGATCTTTTGAGATGGCTGTTTTTTCCCTGTCTAATATGTCAAAAAACTGTCTGCACTTGCGATTTTTAAATGTCTTTTAATTTTCTGCAGAAATGTTTTTCGCACTGAGGGCAATTTGTTTAAGATTATATGGTTGACTAATTTGTAAAATGGCGTCGCTTTTTGAGTGTCTAGCAAAATCAAATATCATAGCAAGCTCGCGTGCTTATACAAAATTTATAAATTTTCTACCAATCAACGGATCCATGATCTGCGACTGTACAAATTAGTAAGTTTTTATGAATTTTTGTATGAATATAGTTTGAACTTATGGCTGGTAAAACAAGAATTTTGGTCACCTCTGATAGATTTCAAAATTTCTTGAAACTTACTATCTGCTTGTAAAAATTTCTGACTGCGTTGATAGAAGTGTTGGAAATTTTTTCGCGGAACCCAACTGTTAAAAACAATCAAAACAAAGCAAAACGTACCATTTAGAACCCCATGACTCTATGGATCTACAAAACAAAGTCTTTTTCCTTGTTATATTCAAAAATGTTGGGTAGTTCTCCTCAGGAGTTTTGCACTTTTATGCTTTGAGTACAATTTACCCCGTGATGGTTTAATTGCCTGTATGTGAGGAGCCACCAAAAGAACTCCACCAAAATTTTCAGTATGAATTGGTCAGGATGAGCCTAATGAAGTCTTTTCACCATTGCGTTTTTTTGAGCGATTGGTATGACTAGCTTTTCGTTCATGTACAGCATCCGCCGGTTTCGTGCAAGTATTTGATGCAACGATCAAAATAATCCACGTTTTTGCAAATCTTAAGATTCATTTTTCCTTGGAAAGCCTTAACAAATGTTTGTAAATCGTACCTTTTTTTGTCGGAAGAGATAAGTTTTGATAAAAAACGAGGTTTCATCAAAAAGATATTTTCCAATCAGTTTATGGTTTTCTTGTCATTCGTTTCTTGGTATTTTGCAAGATGAGATAAAATCAAATTTTCGTTGTAAAGAATAATTTCATTCAGGAAGCTGATGGATTAACTACAAGTTTTCATTGTGACATAACTAGAGATTGAAAACAATTGATGGCGAAATTAGAATCAATAAAAATAGAATTTACAAAAGACGATGAATAAGAAAAAAAAGTTGTTGCATCAAAATTGGAAAAACTTAAAGGAAACCAATTTGAGAAATCACTAAAATCACGAAATCAGAAACAGAAATCACTAAAAGCACAAACTTGAAGAGAGAGTTTATGAAATTAGGAATTGATGCAATCTTTTAGTATGTAAAACCGCGAAGTTGAGTTTTTTGGCTTTTTTTAGGCTTTTGCTATTCAGCGAACGGTTTATTTTGTTCCATTGGATTTAGAGCAGACCTAAATTTTGAAACCGTTGCCAGCACGAATTCTTCATAGTAGTTTGCGCTAGTGACAGCCGTATACAAAAACGGTAAACCATCAGGTCAGAAAAACCCATAAACTGGCCCGCTAGAAGTTTAATTGAAAACTTAAAAGGTAGTAATCTGTCTATCAAACGAGAAAGTATAGTACGATTTGTTTGTTTCTTATAATTTGTTGGAAGAATTAAAGAGCGGACTGTGTGTTCTGTAACCATTTCAATCACTGACCTATATAACTAATCAGAAGATTGATAAGATTCATTATGTTTTGTTTCATCTTTTTGAGCGCAATAAAATGACTTTCATTGAATTTGATTAGCATTTTTTCCTTCAAAGGGGTTATAGTGGATCACCTAAAATTGCAAGATTCGGCACGAATTCCAAAAATTGACTTGTTGAACCGAAAAAACAACGTGATTTCTAAAAGTTTTCTGTCAATTTGAATGCTATTGTGAGCCAAAGTTTTGTCGATAAGAGTTTTTAAACCGGTTTTAATTTATTTTGAAACTTAGCCAATTGATATCATTTTGTAAGAATTTGCATTTGAGCCATTCAATGGTGATAACTATCTAAGCTTAATACAATTTAGTTTAATGTTTTTCTATATTACAAAATTTGTCGCTTGGAGGCAATTAAATTGTCATCAAAAAAGAAATTTGTATAGAGCATTTTTCCAACTGTTGAATCCATTAACCATTTGATTTTATTTGTCATGACTTCTAGACAATAAACCAGTTAACAATTGCTGACTCCCATTCTATCCCTTCCAACACTGCTGAAAATGAATTTTTTTTCATTCAAAACTGTCAAGTGATACCTGAGTTCTCGAACTAAGTTTTCTAAACCAAACATCTCAGATAATTTTGCGGAAACATGTTTCAGATAAACTTGCGGGGACATTGTCGATTAACTTGTAGATGCTAAATAATTGACATAAAATCTTTCATATCTGCTTGTTTCTGAATTTTTGGTCCAACGCTAACTTAAATGACTAATCTTCTAGACATTTCCTTACAATATGGATGACATATCAATCTTCGTCACATTTCTGAAAACTTTTTATTTATAGTTATCTTTCACATTTCAACCACGAGCGCTCCTTTTTACTGAGCCTGATAAATGCACAATTACCCTCCTTCTTTTTGGGATTTAGAGCTAACAAAAACGGGAAACTTTGAAATGAAATTTGATTTTTCAATCTGAAGGAACAAAATTTTGAAAACTTCAAAAACAATTTCTTCCTTAATTTTTAAATTATTGAGGATGAAGTAAATTTGATAAAGTTATTTGATTTACTGGGTCTAAGAGAAACGCGATTTGATCAATTTTTTGTGCGACTTGTTTTCCTATATTTGGTTGGGACGTTAATATTTCCGAGGTAGTTTCTTTCGTGGTTTTGTATTTTTCACTCAAGAGGAACGAATTTTTTGTGATACTGTCAGTTTGTCTTACAATTTATCTTACACTTCTTTCGTTATTTTCAGGTTTTCAGTCGAGAAGAACGATTGTTTTTTTTTGTGATACTGTCTTTCTTCTCTGAGAACCTTGATTGCAGCATTGGTGAAACAACATAATAAGCCTTTCGTGACTTGATTTATCGGAATGAGACGGACATAGTGATCTCTCGGTTACAGCTTGTGTGAAATCTTGCTTTTTGGTAACCTATCTGGGCTGACAGTATCGATTAAAAAATTGAACAAACTTTGCGAGAGCAATGTTGAGTAGCTTTTTCGAGTGTCATAACTTTTGTCAAAATCAACCATAGTTTTAAGCACAGGGACATCATATTTTTCGTTTTTCCCGGTTTCAAACTAGTCATTTGTTGCGCAACAGTCATACTTTCCTGAATGTTTGACATTTTCACCTGTGATATTCAACGATTTATCTTTGTGCCCTTTACAATTTGATTTTTATTGTTTTTACGTTTGTAATTTTTAATTTTTAATTTTTTGTGAATTATAAATTATTTTAAAATGAACTTGAATACTTTTTGGTCATTAATGGCTACATTTTTTTGATTTTAGTGAAAGTAATTTTTTTAAGAGCAGTTTTCTCTGGATATCGTAATTTTGCAGGCTTTTGATGAAAATATTTCTTATCCACTTGTCCTCTGCGCTGGTTATAATGCATTTTTAATCCATTTATGAAAGTGCGCGCACAGATTAATCTAAATTGTTTTTCTTTAAAACTGTCAATTGACATATGGTTGTAAATGGTCTCGATTTCAAGTTTTCTAAAGCAAACATCTCCGATAGTTTTGCGTGACATGTTTCAGATAAGTTTGCGGGGATTGTCTATTAACTTGTAGATGCCTTTTAGTTGACGTAAAATCTTTCATATCTGTTTGCCTCTGATTTTTAAGTTCAACGCCAGTTAAAATGACTAGATTTTTTTGATTTTTTTATAATAGGATGATATATCAATCTTCGTCACAATTCTTTAAAAAAATTATATATGTGTTCATATTTCAAGCGCAGCCGCTCCTTTTTACTAAACCTAGTAAATGCACAGCTACTCTCCTTTTTTATGGCCTAACAAAACAGGAAACTTTCAAATGAAATTTGATTTTTTAATATGAAGTAACAAGAACTTACCGAATTTAAGAGAAATGTGTTTTGATCAGTTTTGTGTGCAATTTCTATTCCTTCTTTTGGGAGGTTGATTTTTACGAGGATGTTTCTTTTGTGTTTTCAGTCAAGAGAAACGATTGTTTTTGTCACACTGTCAGTTTGTCTTACAGTTTGACAATTACTTATTTTGTGGTTTTGTGGTTTTCATTCAAGAAGAACTACTGTTTTTTTTTGTGATTTATCCTACTTATCCGAGAACCTTGATTGCAGAATTGGTGAAACAACAAAATGAGCCTTTCATGACTTGATCAATCGAAATGAGACGAATATAGGGATCTCTCAGTTTCAATTTGTAAAAAAATCTTGCTTTTAGCGAAACTAACTGGGGTGTCAGTATTGGTTGAAAAATTGTACAATTTTTGCGAGAGCGATGTTGAGTAGCTGTTTCAATTATTTCCAATTTTTGTCAAAATCAACCGTAATTTTAAGCATAGAGAAGAGATATCATCCTTGTCGCTTCGTCTGGTTTCATACTATTCATTTGTTACTTTACTGCGATACCTTCGTGCATGATTGATTTTCTCACGAGTAATATTCGACGAATTATCTTTGTGCCCTTAACACTGTGACTTTTTATAATTTTTACGTTTGTACCTTTTAAATTATAGTTTTTTAGTGAAAACTTTCTTATATTTACAGAATTGACTTGTAGCATCTTTTGAAAGCCAGATTATTAGGTGTTTTTTGAAAAATACTCCTCAACGTTTTCCACACTATTTTCCTCTCTCTATACTCAAGGCGGGTTCTCTCTTGCCAATAAATGTTTATTACTACTACTATGTTCAACATTGCAAAAAAATTTGATTATGTACAACGTTGCTAATATGTTTTTTTTTCAATTGATTGGTGACTCCCTTCTTGTCATTAGTGGCTACATTTATTGCTCTTAAGGAAAGTAAAATTTTTGTGAGTAGTTTTCTGCGGATATCGTAATTTTGCATGTTTTTTAATGAAAAAATTTCTTATCCACTTGTCCTCTGCGCTGGATATATTGCATTTTTAAGCCATTATTGAAAGTGCGCGCCTGAATTGATCTGGCATTTTTTACCTCTTTGTTTCCTGTTAGGTAAATTACTTGCTTCAGGAGTTCATTTAGTTTTTTTTGGGCAAAAATGGTTGTTAACAGTTCCCAAAACTCTTTCAATGGTTTGCGATGGACTTTCAATAAGTGAAATTTTGGCTAAAGGTTGTCTTTTATTTTGATCCGAGATAGAATTACTGCATTGATCTCACCTTTTTAGCTGCTTCCTTTGGACGCATGCCGCTAAATCAATTTAGCTCTGCTGTCTGGGTTGTTGCTTCTTCATCGTTTTATCTTCTTTGTTCTGTTAGCTTTCTTTCTAATCTTGCGTTTTCTGGACTTCTGTTTCGTAGCCTTAGAGGGTGTTTTTTTATATTAGTGAATTTACTGGATTTCGTTCCATTGGTTAAAGGAGAAGTCAAACTTGATGTTTTTAGCTATTATTGCTTATTGGAATTAATCGCTTCAATCTTTCCATTGAGTTGGATGTCGATAATATGGGTCTGCTAAAATCTACTGAATTTTTTGATTCGTTGTTGTTTCACTGCGCATGATAAACTTATCTAATGTTATAAGAAAAATACTTAAAGAAAATAAAAAGATGATAAAAATGAGTTATTTAATGAGCGAATTATTTAAAATTAAGACATTGTTATAAAATGTGGCGATAAACACTCCAACGGAGAGGTGTACACACGAAACCTAATGAAACTAATTAAAATAAGTGAGCATAAAATTAGATCATAACAGATATTAAACAGTTTTTTCTACCTTGATTTTTCTCCAGTACGTAATGACACAGCTCGTTCAGAGTACGCGTCAAGTTTGTCTGCAGATCCCAAGCCACGAAATCACTGGCCACCAGTCGACTATCCTTCCATAATAGGCCGCTCTCTCGGTTGGAGTCAACACTAGAATCTGATTGGCTTCCGAAAGACACGGCACCCGAACGAAGGAGCTCCTTGTAGCTTAATTTGTCCACTTGTCTCGAGTTTGCATTGCTGATGGTCTCCTGAAATCTCAAAAGTCTCGATACAAAATTTTTTGTCTTGTCGCTTCTTTGACCATAAATAGGACTCTCATACAATTTACAGGCTTGCCAAGATTAGAAGCCAGATAGAGTAGCCGCTGAATCTGATTATATTGCACAAAAATTTCAAATCACAGTATCGTTTAAAACAAACAGGGGCGGATCTACGATTTTCTCGAGAGGGGGGATTTAAAAACAAAATTCGGATTGATTTTCCAATTTGTATAAAGGCAGACTATAGTATTCTTTAAATACAAAAAATCAACCAATTATATGTTTTTCGAAAATTATGTCACAAAATTCATCGTCGAACTGCCAGGTCGAGTTGTTCGACTCAAGTTTGCACCGAATTGGTCAAGAAAATCAAGAACCAGGTTCGGCCCGAAATCCGTTATTGAAAAACAGTCTTTCCCACAACCCGTGGCCCAACGCAAAACTAAAACAACACGTCGAGAATATTCAATCAAAAAATCGAAAGATAGTAGAACACAAAGTCAAAAATTATTCAAACACTGCTTCTAATAACGATCTAACTCAAAATCGAAACCAATTCAAACACAGTCGAAACATGTCTGAAAAGCATGGCGAAACGTAGTTGATCATATTGGTCGAAAATGGTCAAACGTAGATAAAACGTTGACAGACTCAGGAATGACCCATGACAGAAGTATTAGACGCAATATTTAGTCAATAAATTAATCTATGCAAATGCTTTGATGCAAAAATTGAAGTTTTTGATTTTTGAGATATCAAAAATGAAAAACTTAATACCTCTAAAATTAGTTTCGGACATTATCAGAATAAAACAAGGATAGCCGGTTTTTGTGCTAGTAGAACAGAATGTTTCGACCATAGTTTTACAAAATACAACAAAAGCATATCAAATTGGTGTAGTTTTTTCTGCACGGTGTGATAAAATGATCTGAACGAAAAACTAACCCAAGGCATTTTCAACAGTCATGGTAAAATAAGCAAACTGGACCACAAATTTTGTAGCAAAATTGAGTAGAAAAACAGAAGATCAAAAATTATCAATAATTGTTTCTTTTTTTTCGTTGTTTTTTGAAATTTTGTGGTTTTTGATTCCAAAATACCTAAAAAACTCAAAAGACTAGTTAAATTAGGGTAAAACTAAAAAATTACGGCTTAAATTAGGATTTGTGAGCTATTAAACGTTCTAAAAAAGCTATTGTAAGTCTGCTCACTCGCTTTAATTGCTCGAGTTAATACTAAAACTCAAAAAATTTAAACAGGTTTTTCTCGGCTGAGAAAAATTTTTCAACATTTTTAAATGTTCGAATCACGACTGAAAGGGCTTCAATATTATATATCATTTGACACTTTCCGATGATTATTTATGGTAGTCGATTTGCGCGGAAATGAATAGAAAAACAAAATTAATCATAAAACAAAACAAAAAATTTTTTTTTGGCATAAATTTTGTTGAATTTCGAAAATGAACTTATGAAAAATGAAGTTTTTAATTTCAAAGATGGCGCAAAAGCCAATAAAATTTTTAGTCGTGTAATTAACCATAAAAAGCTATTTTTTCTCGATGTTTTTCTTATTACTGCGATTTTTGTTTTTGCTCGAGGTTTTTCTTGATATTGGGATAATTTCTGAATTTTTTAAAATTGTTCGAATCAGTACTGAAAGGATTTCAATCTGTTATATCTCTCGACCCATTCCGATGATCGTCTATGGTACCTGATTTTGCGTGGAAAAGAATCGAAAGATAAAATTAATCAGAAAAAATAACAAAAACATATTTTTTTTGACATAAATTTTTTTGAATTTTGAAAATAAATTTTGAAAATTTCTGATTCAATAAGTGGCGTTAACAAAATCCAATGAGTAATTTTACTCGTGTAATTAAGCATAAATAAGCTATTTTGGCTCGAAGTTAGACCAAAAACTATAAAACTAAACAGGTTTTTCTCGTTACTGGGATAATTTTTGAAAATTTCGAATCACGACTGAAAGGGCTTTAATCTGTTATATCTCTCTACCCATTCCAATGAGTGTCTATGGTATCTGATTTTGCGAAAAAAATAATATCTCATATAAATACAAAATTCATCCCCATCTTTTCAAATTGTCGGAACAATTAATTATTTTTTCGTTATACTTGCAAATAAAAAAAATGGGTGGTTGGATTTTTGATTTACTTAATTTAAACAAAATCTAAAAGTGGAGGAGAGCTAATACTTGATTCGAAGACAGTCGAACACGTTTCGTGGGGTTGAGGTTGTCGAGGTTGAAGCTTTGCTTGAGTCAAAATGAGTTGAGTAAGCATTTAATTGGTTAATTCGGTCCATAAGTTTGGGTCAATTTGACCGTGAGATAGTTTGGTTGAGTCGAAATTAGTTCAAAACCTTCTATTCTGCTTTATTTGCAAGACTTCGACACCATAGAATTCTCGGTGTACGTTTTTTTATCGCTGGCCATCAGTATCTCCTGTTTTATCTCAGTGTTTTAGCCAGTTTTATCTCAGAAGCAAATTGTGCTCTCCTTATTTTCAAAAATGGAAGCTGGTTGAGATCCAATTTCTGCCCGCATCTAAGACTGTCGTCAGAAGGATGGGCGGCGACTTGTCCCTCTGAAATCATTCGATATAGATGAACCCGCGTCGTATGATCAAATAGTGTCATGGAGGCCAGCGTGACAGCATTATCGGTCATCGGTCCGTACTGGACAGCCTGCTTCTTCGAGATGCAATTACTTCCTTGCAACAGCATGTGACCAACTCTGTCTGCTAATTCCAACGATTAGAATGCTTGTGCGATGACCTTTACCTTTTACCCTATAACCTTTACTTTATTCTGTGTCATCCTTTACGTCTCTGAAGGCGGCAATCGTCGCCGTTAAAGGTTGTCTTATTCCACCAAGAGCTTCCTCTCGGAGATCACTTTTGGGTGCAAATCACTGCTGTCGTCTTCTCCTTTCGCTGGCCATGCGTGTTTTGCCCCAACTTCTTGGCCCTCGTAACTGGACAGTCAACCCTCTGTTATTCCTTTCGCCGTCTTAGATGCGGGCAGAAATAGGATCTCAACCAGCCTCAATTTTTGAAAATAAGGAGAGCAAAAACTGGTAAAAACACTGAGTAGATTCTGATTGCCAGTGATGAAAAAACGTACACCGAGAATTCTATGGTGTCGAAGTCTTGCAAATAAAACAGAATAGAAGGTTTTGAACTAATTTCGACTCAACCAAACTATGACTATATCACGGTCAAATTGACCCAAAATTATGGACCTGAAGCTGGTTTGTATATGGGTATCAATTCCTGATGAAGACCGTCTCACTTTTTCTTGGAAAAAAATTGAGAGTCACGTACCGCACGGGAATGTTGACCCTTCCGTCGGCCCAGTCATGAAAATTTCGTGGACAAAATGAAGAGAATAAACGTAACACATCATCGATTGCAGTCCCAGAATATTCTGAGTTTAAGATTCAGGAGACACTTTTGCATAAAAATTGACGTAAATTACGGTAAACTTGACATTTGAGAGGATCCGTCCACCGACAAAAATATTTGTCCATTGCTCGTCTCCAAATAGCCCTAGTAGGGCCGTATCTCCAAGATTCCAAGACATCTCGTTTCTGGAAACTTTAGTCGTGACATCAGCACCCAATAGTTCCTGATCGCATTTCCGTCTACGCAAGCATTCAAAATTGGACTGTGAGGTCCTCCGTCAATCATATCTCCGACACTGGCAAGCCAGTTGCATGTCTTTGTCTCCAGCTGCGCACTCATCGCTGACATGCCTTTGTCCACTAAGGTTGAGGGTACCTGATAGAACAGAGACATTATTGTGCTTCTTCTGGAATCGTCGCGCACTGTCAAACCTCGTCTGGATGAACGGGCGGGTCGTCCCTCTGCTAAGCTGATCAATCGGAAGATCGGCTAAACTCGTCTCTTCTTGTGCTGTTTTTGTAGCCGGCCGGGACAGTCTCCTTTGTACGATTGTATTCTGTCGATTTTTACGATTGTATTCACCACATCAAATGATTTGATGTACTTCGGGGGCACTTGTTTGCGAAATGACTTATAGGAAATCATTTTAATTGTCCACTGTTGCAAATATCTTTGCCCTATAACGCCCACCCCTATGAGGTTGGTAATTTCAGCCATTTTCATCCTGACTGTGGTCGAACAAGTGCTTTATGCGTTGGTCTGGTTTCTGTTTAATACGAATCTCTGGGCAATGAGCCGGATTAATTTAGTTAACAAATCAGGGCATCATGAGATCCATTGTCTGCATCTGTGTTGCCATTTAGTTTTGCCTCTGATCAGTACCCGTCTTCAATCTCGTAGTTTCCGTCCTTTTGTTTTGTGCATCAATGAGCTGTCCACCAACTGTGATACTACTTGGTTGAAACTTTCGTTTTCTTGATTTAGAAGTAGTATAAAGTTATAATGAAAATTACATCTATTCACTGCTCACCGTGCATTTAAATCTCCTTGAGAGCTCTTTTAGGATTTCCTTGTCGCTGTTCAAAGGACTTTTGAACTCGGCCTTCAATGCCGACCAACTCCAGAATCAGAATGGTTTGATCTTTTGGTCCAAATGATTAAGCTTCCTGCAAGAGTTGGGTCTGGAATGCTTTTTAATGGCTCTCAATACCGGACCGGCAAACTCATGAACTCGTCTAAAACCCAGTCTGTGAAACAAGCTGACAGCACCATCGGGTCGTTTATACCTTTTCATCTTCTACTTTGAGATCAGTTTGAGGTCAGCAGGTGACAGTCTTCTAAAAATTGGGCAAGGGTCCTTGGGAGTCCTATAAGTATCTCATTAGTACTTCTTGATTCATCCAATTTTTATGGCCCATTTTTGCTTTTCCCGGGAAGGCTCTACAATCGTCAGGAGTAGCCGGAAGGAATTTTTTCTGAAGAGTATTTTTGGGAGTGATATCTAATGTCTATTGTTAGCATAGAGTCCTTATGACAGCTCGAACTTTTGCGTATTTTATCGTTTTTTTTCTAAGAATTGACTTTTTCCAAAGCAAGTTTTTTCTGGTGTATCCGCCAGTTTTGGTTTAAAATTTTAACACATTATGTATCTTACTACTTCCTTCCATATCTTCAAGTTGTGCATCCCTGCGCGTGTGTTCATTGAAAGCCGAGAAAAACTTCCAAAATTCCAAACGAGGGGACCATTCAATTGGGGCACAACACCGCAAGTATGGGTTCAAAAGGCCTGGGTTTTAAACATAAGGATCCCCTCGCTGGATCTCTAACATAAAAAAATCTAGTCCAGTCTGATTCCCAAAGCTAGTTACTGAGTTCTGGTAGGGCAAGTCTTACTTCCTGGAACCGTTATGATTAGGGCCAGGAGAGTTCGAGGGTCCAAGTTTTCAACGCTATGTTTGAATCATCTCTAGTTTTCTTCCTCTGACTCAAAGTTTTAAGATAGTAGTTCAGTTTTAGAGGATTGTAGCCCAAATCAAATTCCTCTAGATTTTGCCAGTGGTGGGACTAGATTTTTTCGATCTTGAATTTTTCAATTTTGGTAATTTGTTTGCTTGACTTTACTACATAAATCTCTGGCTTGGTTTAAAATACGTATGGCTACAAACAGTACAAATTTCATATCTACATGCCTAAACTCTAGATTTTACTTTCAAAAATTTGCCTTTAGTTACTCTAAGATTAAGACGACGTAGGTTTCCAATTGTTCCGACCAATTAAAATGGGAAAGAACTTTGTATTCGGATGTGCGGATGTGTTTTATTTTTTTTTGTTTTCCTCGCAAAATCACGTACCCCAAATACTCAGCGAACTGGGTTGAGTGATATATCATATTAAAGCCCTTGCAATCGTGATTCGAATACATTAACAAATTTTCCAAATGTTTTCAAAGTGTCGAAAAAAAAATAGTTTGAAACTTCGAGCGAATCAAGCGAGCGAGCAGTTTCGTTTTAATTGATTAGTTGCTTAAAATCTTATAATAGCCTAGTGTAAAACGTAAAAAAAAGAGTTCTACTTGGGTAACGTTAGTTTATTTTGAGTAGTTTAGCGCCTTTTTGGAATCAAAGTTTTCAAAAATTCAAAAAACTTCAAAAAACATGAAATTTTTTGAAATTTTGTTTGTTTGATTTTGTTTCGTTTTTCTGAAAAAGTTTCTCAAAAAAAAATTTCAATTAGCTTATATTAGTATGGCTGTCGAATATACCTAATCCCCAGTTACTGCCACCTCCTTTTATCGCAGCATGCCGAAAATAAATGACAATAATTTGCAAAAAGAACTTGGTTGTTTTATTTAAGACTATGGTCAGATCGTTTCGTGCTACTTGCACAGTAAGTGACTATCTTTGTTTTCTTTCTCTAATTAGCATAGTTAGAACGACATCGTAACCCAATGTAGTTTTGCTAGAGATGGGACTAACTGTTTCAGTCTCGAACTAATTTGAGATCCCTCAATTTTTGACCTCACTACTAAAATTGCTGGCTTTTGTTAAAAGTAAGTATGGCTATAAAAGCTAGATTTACCAGTTCTACTGGTTGCGATCTGATAACACGCGAAGGAGACAACTTAAATTATAACCAATTGAAGTGAGGCTAGTAACTAGGTCCTTTTATCAGAGTGCGAGACCCCAAATACATCCTATATTTTTTAACAGAACGTGTGGGTCGACAAAATTAGGAAAAACTGAGAAAAAAATTAAGTGCACTCATAAGATCCAGGGCTCGGCATTGATATGCGAGTACGCTTGTTATTTTAATAGAAGACAAAAAAAATCACTTTGTTATTTACATAGCGTGTTTACATAGCGATTCCAAAGAAAACTCTGTTTTTTTTTTCATTTTTCTAAGAATCACTTTTTTGATAGACAATAAATGCATTTGGAAAATTCAGGGGTCAGTCTTGCAGCCAGCAGTTTTTTGGAGTGTTTGAAGAGTAACTTTATGAAACACTCGCCAAAAACGAAGCTGTTTTGATTTGAGTTTTTTAAATCAATTGGTGATATAATGATTGACGTTTAAAATGTGTACAATTGCTAGTCTTATTTTTTCAATAACGTTCTCCAGGGTTTTTCTTCTCACTAAATAAATATATTGAGTTTTTATTAAAAAGTTTGTTTGTTTCTTTCCAATCATTTTATCCAGCAAATAAGCGAAAGCAAAACAACTATTATGAAGGAAGGGATCTTGGAGATTCAAAAAACTACATATTTGGATAATACAATAATGATGATACAATAACTTAAAATGTCTTTAAGAAAAGAGAATAATTGATGTTACTCATGAAGAAGAAGACGATTAATATGCAATCAAAATTCATAACAGGAAACACCATGAGGGGGCAGCTAACGAACCCATCTGAGTTGCAGAACGCTACCCCTATTTATCGAATGAATTACGAAGTTGCAGATATTTAAGTTTAAATTAAAATAAGCGCGAAAATTGTGGAAAAAGGTCATTATCAAAAAAATGAACCAATTTTTTTTATTGGAAATAGAAAAAAATGAGTATCAAATAGTTTTTGGTTTCTTACCAGAAAGTGATTTTTGGTCTCAGCATCGTGAAATACACCACCAATGCGAATGTTCTTAAAGTCGTGAAGCTGATAAAGACTGTTTACAGACGGAATAGAACAAATTATCATAAATACAAAAATACAAAAAACAGGTAAAATAGTTATTTTGAGTGTTTTAAGGCGCATTATTGTTTTCGGACGATGTCACAAAAATAGTAGTGTTGTGAAATCGTAGAATAAAAAATCCAAAGTATCAGATTTAAATTTCTAACTATTCGCTTACTGTTTCGCTAAATTATCAATTGAATCAAATATGGCACCGAACCAAAAGTAATGATAAAGATAACATGGAGTCGATGTCACCCAATTTTTCAGCCTTCGCAGTTTTGAATATAACTTGGAAAAAACAGCGATAAAAACAATTTTTCTAATCAGGATAACTTCTTATGAGTCTCATATTCAAAACAGCGGGGAACAGGGCAGGGGAACAGAAATAGCCATTGTTCAAACGCGGAAACGAAATTACTTCTGCGTGTTTTGTTTTCATTTTAGTATGATTGGTTTTTATACTGATATCTGAAAATTTTACAAATTTTTATACATCGTTTTTCAAAGATTTATAAACAGGAGATGAAGCAGTTTGATAAGTGTAGAATTTATTTTACTAATCACTTCAGCGGACCACTGGGAATAAAAAATCACTTCTTCAAAAGACTAAGTCCGGACAAATGGCGCGAAATTTAGAATTACACTTCAAGGAAGAAATGGTAAAGATGTGACCGGATATCGCGTAACTGCATTTAGATAAAACAATCTAGAAAGTGATAATTTACAGTTTGGTTAAATTGTTTGCAGCGGGAAGTTTGGAAAATAAATTATGCATATTTATGTTGTCAATCAATGACAGACTGTAAAACAGGCAAAGCGAGGCTAGATTATTCTTTTATGCTAATTGGTCATGCTGGGCAAATGATCGGTTGTAAAACTCAATTTGGTGGCTACTTGCGTTTATTTTGTTCATATATTTTCTTATTTTGTTTGTTTGTTTATTTGCGGACAGAAGGTGGCATCAAATACGAAGAAATTTTTCAGAAGAGAAGGGCTGAAAATCGGAAGCAAAAAGTTTCCCAGACTTAAACAGCCGCCTCCACATTTGCATCTTTTATCTACCGGACGCCACCAAATGTAATGCACGGCGAGGTGATTTAATATAACTTCCGTAGCCGATATCTCATTGAGCCACAATGTCTCGAAATAACGTCAACCTACTTTCAGGAAATTTCACATATGGACTTGAATTTAAAAATTACTTTCTTGGCGGTTATTAGGCAGTAAAAAATTTACAAAAAACCTCAAGCATTTTCATAATTTGCAAACAAAGTCAAATAAAATTTTGAATTTTGCTCAAACTGTTGACACGGTAATTTCCTTCTTTTATTTTAATTTCTTTTATGTTACAATTCCGTGGGTTGTAGCAGAAAGTTCGGCTTATGACCATCACGACCTGAAGCACTGATGAAAATCGCAGGGGCTGTTTCGTGGCCAAAGACCGATCGATTTTTCCCAAATGCGAAAAAGTCAAACAGCAGTCAGTATTCGGTTTACAGCACGTAGTTTTATTGATTTTTAATCATTTCACGCAACATTAACCCGGAAAAGGCATTCACGTTGACTGATTGAGTTTTTATGGAATTTTCTCTAGAAGAAAATTATCTAATAAAACAGAGAAATCAGTGCCATCCGGTAATCTCCGCATTGTCAAAATGTAATTGCTTTTAGTTGCAAAACTGAATTTGAATTTAAAACGGTTACTGAATCAGATTTGGCTCTTCTAACAGAAATCAGAAAAAGCAATGAAGAGATGAAAAAAATCGTTTCTAGGAGAATGGGAGAAAAAGAAAAAAAGAAAAAATTCGTTTCTATAAGAATGGGAGAAAATGTCGAAAATACCTATGTGTATATCTTCGATCTAAAACATCGTAGAAAATGTCGCCTCGTAATGAAGTTTTAATCCAATTTACCTTGCCAATTTTTGCTTTGTTTTGATAAAATAACATAGACAAAAGTAATTTTGGCTAACCATGTTCAATCAAAAATGCAGAGCTTATAATGAATTAATGGTTAGTGTTTCGAAAACCTATTTTGTTGCGCCCTCAAAATGAAACAATGAATCTACTTCACAGTTACACCGCTTTTTAAGAAATGGTGTAATTGTTAAATAGATTAAATCACTCGAATTTCTGACAAGCCAGAATGTAATAAAATTAGAACTATGAATAGAACGCTCTAAGTGCTTTACTGCTTTCATTTTCAGGGGGGGGGGCAATTATTTAGTAGATACTATATGGGGAGGGGGTTGTTAAGTAGATCCATGACAATTTTACTACTACAAAATATTCGTCGTTCTTTGCTCGCCTAAAAGTTTGTCGAGCTTGCACAAAATCACATGTATCTACAACTGAAACATTAGGAAAGATACATCATTCCTTCTATCAATAATGAATGCGCATTTCGCAGAAATTTGGTGAGTGGATTCCACTTACAATTTGAGAAGATGTTCAAAGACATGACTATGGGCTCCATGGTCCTGCACGAACGAAACCGTAGGCAAGTCTTTGACATCTTTGTAAATTGTAAGTGAAATCTACTAACCAAATTGTTGCGGAATCAAAAGTATATACAATATTTAATAGTGAAAAATAATTGAAGTAATAAAATGCTTTTTAACAAAAAAACTTAAATGTAAGTGAAAAAAACAATCAAATTTTATTTTTTTTTTGGTTTCTGCGATTCGCAGAGGATCTATGAAAGGATATCCAGCCTGTCTAAGCATATTCCATTTCTCTTATTTCCCCACATTTCAGACTGAGTTATTTTTGTTGCGCGAAGCGCTTTTTTTTGCGACTCAAAGCCTTTTTTTTGCGTCTAGAATTTTCACGTGGTACCATTATTGCAGCAGTAATCGGTCAGGCTGTAGTAGACCTGAAGCTAGAGGTCAAGTGAGAGCTCATCCTCACACACTATCCTTGCCATAGCAGGGGATCGATTACACGATCTGACGTGATGGTGTTAAGATCAAAAATTGAATCATTATTTAAATACTGAACATTTTTCAAACCTAGAGTAGGCAACCTTTTAGTGACAAACACAAGGTTATTCTTAATTAAGTGAAAATTTATTAGCTATGTCTTTTTGCGGAACTGCAAGAAATTAAAAATCTTGATAGGTGCACTCTCAGAGACTACTTTTTTTTTGAAAAAAGCCACGATGTACAAGCTCTCAAAAATTGCGTATTGAAAAAAGCCTAGATATAAACATTTTCAAAGTCTACATTTCAAAAAGAACAGCCATTATGTGAACAATATGATAAATTTGAGAAAAACTTGTTCAAAGAAGAAATATGATGGAACTCTCAGAGAATAATTTTTCATATAAAGAGTCAGGATGTCAACACTACATAGATTGTTTTTTCAAAATAAGAGCCATTCAGCTGACAGTTTCATGGATTCCATTTTACATATTTATAAAAAGCCAAGATAAAAACATTTGAAGAGATCAATTTTTCATTAAAAAAAACAAACAAGATATTGAAACTCTTCTGATTTTCATTTCCAAAAGTATATATTATTGTTAGACACAATCATAGATTATTTTTTCCAAAGAAAATATGAAATTCTCATAGACATGAAATTCTCATAAAATATTTTTTTTGAAAAGAGCAGCAAATATTTGAATGTTGAAAAAAATAATACTTTTTTGAAAGAAGAAACAAGAAATGAGAACTCTCCTAGAACAATTTTTCAACAAAAAACCATAATGTGAATTTTTTCTGAAACAAACTGTTCGAAAGAAGAGCCCTGATTTGGGAACTCTTAAACACTTCTTTTTCAAAATAAGATCCATCATGTCTACACTGTCATAGAACGCTTTTAGAAAAGGAGAACAAAGATATAGTTACTCGCATGGACATTTTTTTGCAAAAGAACAGCCATGATGTGGACACGTTCAGAGATAAACTTTTCAAAAGGTTAATAGTGATGACGGACCTCTCATAGATAACTTACTTTTCAGACAGAATTGCCGTGATATGAAAACTCTGATGATGTGAACTTGTTAATAGACTATTGTTTAAAAAGAAGAATCCTGATGGGGTGCTTCTAAAAAAACTTAAGTTTTTCAAAAAAAAAGAAATAATAGGACCGGTTTGAAAAAACGTCCAAAAGAACATCTTTCCAAAAGAACATCCAAAATGTGATCAATGTCATAATTTACTTTTTTCAAAAAAAAACATGATGTGGGAACTCTCATAGAATACTTTTTATTATGACGAGCCAATAAATAAACATTCTCAAGGACTATTTTTAAAAACTACAAATAAAGAGTCGTTACGCGGACACTTTCAGTAAAACCCATCAGTTTTTCATAAGAACCTTCTCAGAAATTACTTTTTCGAAAAATCATGCAAGATATTGAAAAGCATGCAATATATGGAAAATCTTGTATATTAATTTTGCAAATGACCACGTATAGTGCAAAAACTACCATAAAAACCGTTTTCCAAAGGAGAACAAAGATATGAGTACTATCATAGACTAGTTTTCGAAAAAAAACAGCCACGATTTGAACATTTTTCCAGACTACTTTTTTGAAAAAATAAACAAGATATACACACTCTCCTAAAATATCTTTTGAAAAGAAAAACCATGATGTGAACATGTTCCTAGACTACTTGTTCGAAAGAAGGACCCTGATGTGGTAATTCTTAAACACTTTTTTTCTTTTTTGTTTTCAAAAGAAGAGTCATCATATCTACCATATCACAGAATGCTTTTTGAAAAAGAAGAACCAAGATATAGCTACTCTGGTCGACTTGTGTTTCAAAAGACTAGTCATTAAATGGACATTTTCAGAGATAACCTGTTTAAAAAAAACAAAGATATGGTCACTTTTACCCACTGTTCCTTCCATGTGAAGAACCTTGATAGGGACGCTCTCAAAGACTACTACTCCTACAGGAAAACCAAGAGCCTAAATGTCGACGGTTTGAAAGTCTACAATTCAAAAAGAACAGCCATATATAGTAAATTCTCCAAAGAAGGAAAAATATGATCTGGCAACTCTCATATGTTCATTTTCGAAAAGAAAAACCACGACTGGAACACGTTCATATACTACTTAAAAAAAATTCAAGATATTGACATTTTCCTTAAAAAAAATTGAAAATAAAAGCTATAATGAGGTCATGTTCTGAGAATATCTTTTGCAAAGAATAGCCCTGGCTTGGAAAGCCTTAAACTTTTCTTTTTTTCCAAAGACGAGCCATCACTTCAAAACTCTCTTGTTTTACTTTTGAAACGGAGAGCCAAGATATAACCACTCTTATATATTTTTTTCAAAGAGCAGCCATGACGTGGACATTTTCAGTGATAAACTTTTCGAATACAGAATAATGAAGAGGGAACTCTTATAGACTACTTACTTATCCAACAGAAGAGCTATGGAAATTCTCGCAAAATGCTTGTTTGAAAGAACAGTTATGATGTGGAAACTTTTACAGACTACTCGTTTCAGAAGAAAAAAAAACCTGATGGGGCGCTCTCAAGGACTACAATTTTTAAGGAAAAGCCACGATGTGGACACTCTCATAGACTACGTTTTCGAAAAAGAGCCTAGATGTGGACGATTTCAACATCTACTTTTCGAAAACAATAGCCATGTTGTGAACAATATATAAGATTAACTTTTTCAGAGAAAAAACATGACTTGGGAACTCTCATTTTGTTTTGAATAGCCAAGATGTGAACACTCTCATAGATTGCTTTTTCAAAAACAAAAAACATTTCGAAAGAACATTTCACAGTTTGATTTAAAAAACTCTGGTTTGCTATTTTTATGAAAGAATAGCTATATTGAGCACATTATCATGGAATTAATTTTCCAAACACGAACAAGGGTGTGGGAACTCTCACAGGCTGGTTTTCGAAAAGAACAGCCACGATTTGAACACTTAAATTGACTACTTTTTTATGAAAAAAATCCAAATAGGGACATTCTTCAAGAATTTTTTTTTGATAGAAAAACAAAGATAGGGAATCTCTCCTAGAATAGTTCTAGGACTACTTTTTGAAAAGAAGAGCCCTGTTGTGAGAGTTCTGAAACACTATTTT